ACAGGCTCTCGTAAGTCTTGGAAAAAAATTCCCAGGAATCAAGTGAGAAACTCAAATTTAGCTCTTTTTAAATGTATAAAGAGCATGAAAGCCATTCCAATTCGGTAAGAGAAGAGAAGGCATAGCATTGATGAGAAAAGAAGAGAAAGTGGTGAATTGAAGAAAGAAATTAATATTTCTCTGTTTATCGAAGTTCCAATGAGTGTTCTTTACACTCTTTCAGAAATCTCGATTCCATAGGCATAGATAGCAAGATATTCGTAACTATAGGCAGAGAAAGTGTTTTTTCTTTAGTGGAGTACCTTAAATTCCTTAAATAAGTCATTTATATGTGTAAGGGATTTCTTGACCCTTTATACCTCCCTCAAATACAATCTGAAAATTCTTCTGTTGAATTTTACTGTTTTCTTCTAGAAAAAAAATTTTTTTTCACTAATACTCCCAAAAAAAACTCCTCTCATTGTATTTTTTCCTCCAGGAAAACAATCAATAGACTCGACTTGGATACTTCTGAGGATTTTTTTTTATAAAATTTCCTATTTTCTGTAGGCTGTTTTCCTTCGCGTACATTAAAAGAAGATCTTCTTCTATAGATCTTTAGCAGAATCTTCTATTCTATCTAAGACATAATGTACACATTTGAAACCTTCTAAAAGCCCTCAGAAAGTCCCACAATTGATGGAAAACCTTAATTGGATTTCTAGGTAGATGTAGGGATTAACGATTCCTATGCGAAATTGTTCCATTGAATGCTCTGGTAACATTCTAGCCCTTGTTCTCTTGGGGCATTCAAATCTAAATCTAAGAGAGACCAATGATAGAACAATGGGGAAGATGTACGGTTTGTTGTTATAAATCATCTATGGGCAGCCTTGAACTTTCGTTCAAGTATCAACAAAGCACATGCATTCTCTCTCGATTTTCATTTACCATTGATAAGGGTATCTTACCACTAATAATTTAGACATTGTGAGCAAGGCTGTTATAAATTAAAAAAAGAGAGTCGAACGTTTTTTACGTTCTCCTTATGTTGTTACTCTCTGATTACATATGTTTTCAATGCTCTTATTGTGAGTTTAGAGAGAATGATTAGAGAAATGATCTAAGTCATGTGAAGTTGTATTTGACTGGCCTTGTTATAAGGACACATATGTGAGAGAAATGTAGAAAACTTAAGAGATAATATTTAATGGAATAGCAGGGATCACAGAGTATGGAAATCTTCTGAACAAGGCATTGAGTCCAATAAAAAGTCAGTGGCGATCAAATAGTGAAAGAAGAATTAAAGGAAAAAGATTTTAATTAAAAGATAGTGATTTTCAGAAAATGATATTTCTGATGAAATTTATTACTTAAGTCATTTGAAAATATTAACCCACACAACAACAACGATGTGCGATTATAAAAGTTCCCTTCATGTCTCTCGTAGTTAAATGAAAACAATCCACTCCTTCGATCCTTAACCAAAGCAAATCGAAAATTTGTTTTGAATTCACATTGATTCAAAGAAGAGAGAGAGAGAGAAAATATCTTCTCTCATTTACTCTTTATCTTTAATCTCTTTATATAATAAGGTAACTCCTTTCTTTTCTCTTGCCGATTAGTATTGAAGAGACTCAGAAAAAAAAATCCGATTATAATTTACATTTTTCAAAACAAAAAATATCAATTTATTATTCACAAAACTAAAAAGAAAAATATAAAAAATAAAAACTATGACTAATGATTTATTAACAAATAAATATCTGCCATTTAAAAATATATTTACAAAATATTATTATATATATATATATTTATATTTTTTTACAAATTCAAATGTAAATAAATACTCTCTTTAAATTAGAACAAATTTGAAGTGAAATGAATAATTGAAATGAGAAAAATTAAAAATTATAAAAAAAATAATGAAAAGTTATTCATTTCATGTTTGTTTTATGTGTTTAGTCTTTGTTTTTTCTATTATTATTTCTGTTTGTTTGCCCATACATATTTTGTTTTAAATGATGCTTAGTTTACAGGGTGCCCCAAAATTTTGAGGTATAAAAATGAAATGGATGATAAGTGATAGCAATGGCAAGAATGTAGATTAAAAATTGCTACGATTTAAAATTTTTTAAATTTCTCAGAAAAAATTACATTGGCTACACTGGTGTAATTCTGTTCTGCGTATAAATATTTTTCCTACGAAATTGGTATCTAAAGTGGCGCCCAAATGAATCTGGATGTGAATATTGAAAGATAGTCATGTCATATTGTTTGAACTTAAGCTTTGGAGTTATACTAAGAATTTGAGTCTTTTTCGAATGCGTTTTTTTTTTGTAAAGCTCTGAAAAAGTTGAAAAATTACCCGAAAAAGAGGGCCACAACTATAAGACAAATCTATGCTGACACTTGTAGTGTTTCAAAATTGTAGAATATATGCCAATAGAGGTTTTGAGGTTTTTGTGAACAAATATGACACTGTTAATTTTTTTTTTTTTAAGTGGCTATAATCTTTTGGATATTATTGAGGGGTAACCTGGAATTCAATGGAGTATTTTAAGATTTTTTTAAATTTTAGATTTTCTTAGAGAAATTTTAAAATTTAAAATAAAAAATTTAAAAATTGTAATTTTCTAATTATTTTGGGTTGTTAATTTTTTCCTCTTCAATACTTCAAATTTAAATTTAAAATCTCAAAAATTTTCAATATTTCCAAAAAATAGTCAAATTGTATGGGAATTGCCTAAATAATTGGAATACTTTTGGAAGGTATCCCCAGAGTAATTTAAGACCCATTTCGCTTAAATTAAGAATTAGATTGTTATTTTATGAAAATTTGAAGTAAAAGAAAAATATTTCATTTAAATATATATTTTTTTCTATTTTTGTTCTAAGCTGTAGAAGTAAGATCATTTTTAAAGCTTTACTGATATTTTTAATAAAGCCCACTGGACACAGGGCTCTTTTTTAAATTCGGAGCAAAAAATATATACATTTTATTTTCTTTTTATAATTTAAATATCAATTAAATAGTTATCTTTTTTTTTTGTAGAGGTCTTTAAAAGCATCAGTTTTACTTTTAGCCATTGATTTTAAAAATTAAGCCTGGAATTTACATTTTTTAGAATAAAATTCAATTATATATTTCCAAATTATTATCCTTAAAATTTGTTTCGGAAAGTCGTTGAAAAAAAAATATATTAAAAAAAAAAAATTCTGAAAGTACTTGAAAAAAATTTTACAGAAATTATCTTTCTGAATATCCTTAAAAAACAAAATATAGATTCCTCTAAACGTCTTTGAAAAAAAATCTTAAAAAATCCATGTCCTTTAAATGAAAAAAGACTCCTCTTAAAAACCTCCTTTTCAACATTATCCATTTTAGAATTTAAAAAATTTATTTGTCCAAAATTATTAAATTCGTAAAAAATCCACGCCTTTTACTCTAAAGGTCCTTGAAAAAATAGTTTAAAGATTCCTTTGAATGTCCTTGATTAGAAACCCTTCTCAAGGCCCTTGAATCAATATTTCGACTGAAGGTCCCAGAAAAAAGCTAAACAAGATCTTCTGAATGTCGTTGTTAACAATTCCTAGAAAAATTCTTCTGAAAGTCCTAGAAAAAAATTACAGAACCATGGTTATCGTTCTCAATGCCCCAAATAATTATCCTAAAATAATTCTTCTGAAAGTCCTTGAAAAAAATGTAAAAAATTGAATTAAAAGTACTTGAATAATAAGTTTAAAAAACCCTTTGAATGTCCTTGAATAAATATCTTAAAAACCCACTACTATTGCTTTGAAAACCCATCTCAAAGCCGTCAACAAAAAAAAAAAAATATTAATAAAAAATAAAAATTCGACTGAAAGTCCTGGAAAAAATCGTAAAAAACATCTTCCGATAGTAGTTGAGAAAAAAATGGTACAAAAATTCTTCTGAAGGTCCTTGAAAAATAAGTTTAAAAAATCCTTTAAATGTCCTTGAAAGAAAAAAACTCCTCTTAAAAACCCACGACCATTTTCATCCATTTCATTTTATAACCTTCATTTTCGGTACACCCTGTAAAAATATACACATTTAAAACATATCCGATTTTTTTCCATTTTTTATGCCGATGTTCAAACATTTTACAATTCATGCATCATCATCATTATTTTCTTCTTCAATGCCAATAATTGGAATATTTTTTTATATTATTATTTCGTTTTTTTTTTCAATATGTATAATATATGTGTATATATATATATTTATAAATATATATAATTTCAGTATATAGTATTTTGTGGTTTTTCAATAATAATAGTATGCCGTTTGGATTTTTTTCTATACATATACAGGAGCTTTAATTGAATAGAGGAGAGGGAAGGGAGAAAATGAGAGGAGAGACAAAATTATCATTTCAAAACACTGACATATAAACACACACATAGACACGATAAAATAAATATACACACAATGTTTGCATTTTATGAAAAAAAGTTAGTTTTTTGACTTTGGTAAATGAATCATTAAACAATATACGAGAGTGTGTGTATGTGTGTTTTTCAATTTTTTGTAGTTAAGGAATTTATTGATGTTTTGTTTTTGGTTTTGGGGGAGGATTTTTTAGTTTGGTTTTGTCTTGTTTATTGGTAAAGTCCATAATTAATAAATTTTGATAATATATAATATAATTGTATAATAATTTATAATAATAATTAATTAATTAATAATAATATGCATAATAGTTAATTTTGTTGTTTTTTCTTTTGTTTGGGGGGGGAACTGTTTTTATTTTTTCAATATTTATATATATGTTTTGTTTTGTTTTTGGGTTTCTTTCTTTATATATTTGTTCTTATTCTCCCTCGTCTTCGTTTTCTTTGCTTACTATTTTGTTGTTGTTTTTTTTTTTCGTTTATACTAAATATATATTACCATTCTTTATACATATTACATACTCTTTGGTATCTTCATGCTGCTACCATTTTGTTTTTTGTTTTTATTAAATATATATACTTTTGTTTTAACATACTGGAGTTTTGTTGATTTTGTTTTTTCTTTTTTTGGATTTTGGATTTTCTTTTCTAGTGGCATGTGTGTCCTTTGGAGAGTGTTGTTGTTCTTGTTTAAACATTTTCTGGAATTGTTTTTTGTTAAGTATATTTATTACCTGATTGCTTTCTTTGTAACTGCCAATTATGTGCTTTAAAAACGTTTTGTTTTCCTGGGAATGATTTTAAGTTCTATGGCTTACTGTGAGAGTGGGTGTGGTTTTGATCTTTCCATATTTGCACAGATTTGTTTTTGCTTTGAGAGAGGGGAACCGGAAATGGGAGAGTAGGAGATCAGGTGAGACAGGGGGGGAGAGAATTTCTTGTCCACTACGATGTGTATTTCGATTGCTTGTTGGGTAATTAAATTTAGGAATTTTTCTTCTTCTTCATCTTCATCATCGTCTTCGTCTTCTTCTACTTCTCTTAATTTTGGGGTTACATGAATGGCGGAGGATTTTTTCATACTTTTGTTGTTGTTGCTGCTGATGCTGCTGCTGGCATTCTTACTTTGGTTTTGCTTAACTATGTTACAGTTCTTAGACCTAGCGGCCTCGGGCCCATCTTAGTAACGCATCAGCCAGCACATCCAGATGTGCTTTCGTCTATAAAAGAGAAGACAAAAAGAAAATAAAAAATATTAATAAAAACCAGAAACAAATATATAAAAATTTAGAAAAAAAAATATTAGAAATGTGCAATAATATATTTTAGAGACGAGTCCTTTAATGCTTTGTTCCCAGTACGAGCAAGAATCTACTAGTTTTGCAATTTTTTTCCGATATCATAAAGGGAAAATCGGTTATCGTAGTAAATATATTTTGTAAACTCTCGGGAAATACTCTCAAAATTACAAAGTTCCGCAAATCCGAGAATTATTCTTTAAAATTCCTTGAAAACTTAAAAAAAAAGTCATAAAAATTGTCATGATTGAGGGTCCTTGGTAAAAATAAAAAAATATAGCTATGAAAGTCCTTAAAAAATCCCAAAAAAAATATTTTTGAAAAAATGGAGAAACTCCTTTGGAGATTTTTGAAAAAGAAGTCTTTAAAAAATCAACCACTATTGTTCTGAAGGTACTTGAAAATATCCTCAATAAATTCTTTTAAAATTTGTTGGAAAAAAATCCTAGAAAAATTCTTCAGAAGGATCTGAATAAAAAAAATCCTTGCGAAAAATCTTAAGGAAAACCATGTTTATTGCTCTGAAGCTCCTTGGAAAATTATTTTAGAAATTCCATTAAATTTCCTTGAAAAGCATTATCTTAAAACCCACGACTATTGCTCTGAAAATCGTTCCAAGGTTCTTGAAAACTTTTTAAAAAAAATGGAAGTTTCTTGAAAGCTTTAAAATAAAGGTCCTGAAATAAAAATTCTTAATAAAGTCCTTTGGAAGACGTTGAAAAAAATGCCTAGAAAAAAAATTTTTGAAGGTCCTTGAAGCAAACAAAAAATCTTACAGAAACACGGTTATCGGTGCTTAAATAACTAGAAAAATTCCTTTGAAAATTTTTAAAAATATCAAAGACTCTCAGTCTTGTTTTTTTTTACATTCATTTAAATGAAATAAAAAATCCTCTTAAAACTCATGAAAAATCATAAATAAAATTTTCCGAAAGTCGTTAAAAATTCCTAAAAAAAATCTTCTGAAGGTACTTGAAAAAAATCTTACAGAACAATGATCGTTTTCAACATCCTTAAAAAACCTAAAAAAATCCTCGCAACATCCTTGCTCTGGAGGTTCTCGAAAAATCAGATTAAAGATTGCTTTAAATGTTCTTGAAAAAATTCCCTTAAAAGTCCAAGACTATTGTTCAGGAAATCATTCCGAAGGTCCTTTAAAAATACCATTAAAGGTCCTCGAATAAAAACCCTAAATAAAGTCCTTTTAAAATTATTGGAGAAAATGCCTAGACGTTCGCAACGTCGTTAAGAAAACCAAAAAAGCTCCTCTGAACGTCCTTGAAAAAAAAATTAAAAAAAAAGCCATATATTTTGCTCTCAGATTCTTGAAATTTTTATTAAAAAATTCCTTTCAAAATCCTAGAAAAAACCTCTTAAAACCCACGACTATTGCTGTGAAAAAAAAAATCTTAAATAAAATCATTCGAAAGTCGTTAAAAAAATTCGTAGAAAAATTTTTCTGAAGGTCCTTGAAAAATTAGTATAAGATTCCTTTAAATGTCCTTGAAAAAAAAATCGTTTTCAAGGCCCTTGAAAAAATTTTTAAAATTCGACTGAATGTCCTTAAAAAATCCTAAATAAAATCTTCTGAAAATCTTTGAAAAATGTCTAGACAAATTTTTCTGAAAGTCCTTGAAAAAAATAGAACACGCTTATTCTTTTCAATGTCCTTGAGAAGAAATCTTAGACAATTTCTTCTGGGGGTGATTAAAAAAAAAGTTCTTACAAAACCACGCCCGGCTCTGAAGTCCTTGAAAAAATAGTTTAATAATTCATTTGACGTACCTAAACAAAAAAAAAATTAATAAAAAACTTTGCTGAAGTTCCTTGCAAAAAAATCATGAAAACTTAGCACTATTGTTCTAGAAATCCTAGAAAGTTTTTAAAATACTCCCAGGCAGGTCCTTAAAAAATCTTAAAAAATTTCCCCTCAAAGTCTTTGATAAAAATGCCTCAAAAATTCATATATATTTCTCTGTCGATCCTTGATGCAAATTCTAAAAAAAAAATCCAGTGAAGATCATTAAAAAAAATTCTTCAAAACTTTTGACATCCTTAAAAAATCTTTGAAATCCACACCTATTGCTCAGAAGATCCTTGACAAGAAATTTTTCATAGATTTTCCCTGAAAGTCATTCAAAATGCTTAAAAATGTTGACCTATTGCTCTAAAAATTAAAAAAAATCTTCAAAACTTTTTAAGTCTTTAAAAAATTCTTAAAAATCCAAGCCTATTTCTTAGAAGGTGATTGACAAAAAAAAATTCACAGGTTTCCTCTGAAAGGCATTAAAAATGCCTAAAAATGTTGGCCTAATGCCCTAAAGATAATTAAAAAAATATATATATGAAAATTCCTGAAGCAATTCCACTGAGGGTCCTTAAAACAATTTTCCAAGGATCCTTGAAAGAAATTCTTGACAAACGCGCGTTTAAGTACACAAAATACATGCCACTCGCTCTAAGGATCCTTGAAAATATTTCAAAATTAAATATTGATATTCTTTAGGACCTTGTTAAAAAAATCGACACAATTTGCTTTGAATGTCCTCCAAGTGAAGTTTCAAAAAATAAGGGTAATTATCTTTTGAAACTTCTCTTGGGTGGGCCTTGAAAATTTTGTTAAAGGATCAACAATTATTGCCCTTAAGAAAATTGCTCTGAGGAACCTAGAAGCCAAATTTTTAAATCCTCAGATCTTCACATAACTGTTGTCAAATTTACAATGGCCTTTAAATAATTTTCCCTTTGCTCCTTTTACACATTTCATGGGCTTGACAATTAAGAGCTCAACCCATATCCTGCTTTAAAACTATTTTTAAATTTTAAAAAATTTTAATATTTTCACTTACCGTCTTATAGAACATACACGATCTTCTGTCTTCATCTTCACCCTCGGGACAATCGATGAAGCCATCGCACAGGACATGATCGTCTATGCAACGATATCTGCCCTGTACGTCGGGTGTCGGACATGCGAAACGTTCCATGCCATCCATGGCGGTGGGACATTCTAAAAAAGAGATGGAAACAAAAGATGCGAATGTTAGAAACAATTTCAATCAAAAATTCGAAAAAAAATTTCACTTAAATGTTTCAATTTCAATCTATCAATTTGAGAAACTAGAGACACATACACACATGTATACATAACACCCACACACCCAAATGTGGGTATTGATAACAAAAAACCACCGAAAAAAAACCATCAGGAGAGCTAAAGGTGCAAATGACGTTGACTTTTGTTTGGTTGTCCTGGCCCTTACTCTTCCCACCAGGTCTCATTGTTTTTGGTGTCTGTTGTTTTTTTTTCTGTTTTCATTTCGAAAACTGTAACTGTGTTGGCAGCGCAATGTCATTTTAACAATGATGGGGTTGAAATTGAACACTTTTTAACAATAACCATACAAAGAGACCAAAACACAGCAGCAACAACAACAACAACTTCTACAAAAACTGACACTGGCACTGACATCGACACCAACAACCCAAACACAAGCATGGCTGGTTGTTTCACTGGTTCGCTCGCTCGTTTGTCTACGATACGAAACCAGGTAAGCAAATGTATTCGACATGGCCGCAAACTCATTTCATACATGTGTTAATGTTGGGACCCTGTGAACATGTGTGTCGGTGTGTGTGTATGGCCATTCATACGTGTGTTGTCATACAGGTGTTTACTTTTACAAAACAACATGAAAGAAAGGAGAGGCAAAAAAAAAGGAGAACCAACCCATTCACATATAGATTTTGTGTGTGCGTTCTGCTGGTGCTGCCTGGCTGTTAGCTTGTTGTCATTGTCCTTTTGACGTCAATACTTAATTTGATTTCATACCAGGCATTGTTAAACATTTTGCGACGTGCTGAATATCTGTATATTTGTATGCGCGTTACACACATTCATACACACATGTGTATATTTGTGTGTGCGAGTTTGGTTGTGTGTCCCCTTAGCTGTTGGCTAAGGCCGGGACAATGGGTGTTGATGCCAATCAAATAAATGGTACGTGTGTATAACAAATATTTAATAGGGTGGGTCGTTCTGTTTTGGAATTTCAAGTAGCTAGGTTCCGTTGCTATGTGGGCCTAATTTAATTTATTTACCGGGTTATTTTGAGAGCGTAAATATGAAATGTTAAAAAACGAGAGGAGAATAATAACTAGTTTCGGAAATACAAATATAGAGGAGGTCTGATGTCAGGTACGTAAATATATCCAGGATACAGTCGTAGTTAAGAAACGCGAATTTTTACAACGCGCGAAATCTGGCACCCAGAATTTTTTGAGAGAAGTTAGAAAACGATCTGAGCTGTAGTTAAGAAATTTTTAGAATATTTAGAGTGTTCGGAATAATAGTTTTTGTAAATATAATTTATTTCATTTTCCAAAAACTATCATTACTTCAAGGATTCTCAGTGCTGAAGCCTGGATTTTTGCTGAAAAATTTTCAAGGACTTTCAGTGTTTGGTTTGTAAAAATTTAAAAGGATCTTTGTTAAGGACTTCTAGACAGGAAATTCCAAATTTTTTAAGGAGAAACTGAAGTAAAATTCTGGAATTTCTAATTAATATTTTTTCATGAGTTATCTGAACTAAAACCTTATATTTTTCTGAAAACATCTGGTATTGTTTCTGTGTTATATTTAAGCTTTAATCTGTGCTTCCTTTATATATTTTGAAATACTTTCAGATGTGTAATAGACTAAGACTTCATTATAAATATTTTGAAGGGCCATATGAGTAATTTTGTAAATGATTTTTTTCCAGGGACTAATATCCAGATCCATTTTTTTTAAATATTTATGTAAGGATTCTCTATAGCACTGCGAGAATTTCCAGTACAGAATTTTTAAGGATTGCCTATGAATGGATCACACAATTTTTAATCAGCCTTTTTAGAAGGATCAGGTTAAAGAAAATCTAAATTTTTGACATAAAATTTTGGATTTTTCCATTCGTATATTTTCAGGAGTTTTTTTCCGGCGACTTGTGAAATTTAAGTCCTGAAAATTTTAGGGAGCATTTTTTAAGCAAAAATCAAGGTCTATCTGATCAAAAATTCGTATATTTCAAGGGCTATTCGATCTATATGTTTTTTTCAAAATCACCATAGTCTAAGAAATTTTTTTTTAAATTTTTAAGGAAAATGAATTTTTCGACCAACAATCGTGTATTTTATGGAAGGACATGTTACAAGGACATACATACGACAAACGTTTTTTTTGCGGATTTTGAAAAATGCTTTTAAGGACGTTCATCGCCGATTTTTAGAAAAGCACTTTCAAGGACATTCTGGCTATCAATTACGGATGTTTTTAAAAACATTTCTGCAAGAATCTCTCCTACATTTCTAGATTTCTCTGGTTCTTACAGGTTAAGATTCAATGAAAAATAATTTTGAAGAGATTTTTTTTAAAAAGCTTTTTTTAAAGAATTTTCAAAACAATAACTGTCGAAATTTAAAATATTACTCTTGAAGCCTAATTTTTGGGAGGACATAAATAGCTTTAATCACAGATTGGATTTTTCGTGGATTTTTCATAGTTTTTTGAAGAGCATTTCTCAAGGACATTCAGACCAGAAATTGTGAATTTTTTGAAAAACATTTTTAAAGGACTTCCATACCAACCATCGTTTCAAATCTAGTGAGAAGTTTTTTTTGTCATTTGACATTTAAAAAAAAAAAAATTAAGGCTTAGATTTTTTGAGGCCTTTCAATACTTTATGAAAGATATGGTTAAGATCATTCATTTATTTCAAGGATATATAAAACTGTAATTATACATTGTTGGAATTTTTTTTCAAGGACATTCAGACTACACTTAGTGAACCCATAGAAAAAATATTTTTCTTAAATTTTTTAAGAGTGTTTGAAGGTCTTGCAGATCAACAATCATGACTTTTTAAGGAGCAATTCTCAATGCCTTTATGACCAAACATTTTTTATTTTGAATTCTGCGTTTAAGGATCTTCTAGCTAGTTTTTAAGCTAGCTAGTTTTTAAAGGACTTCGAAAGCTATGAAGAAGATTTATTTGAAATATATTTTTAAGAATATTTAAACCAATGATATTTTAAAAATTTTCGACTTTTTTCTTTTTTATTTCATTTTTTTTTACTTGGATTTTTTTAATATTATTTTTTAAGGACTTTTCAAGGTCCTAAAACATTTTCGCCGTAATCTTTTGAAGAATTATTTTTGTGAGGACTTTTAGACTCCATCATTAAGGATGTGTGCCATAATATCTTTACAAGGAATTTCAGACCAATTATTGAAAACATTTTTCAAAAGACCTTATTAAGGATATGATCAACATCCTTGGATTTTTGAATGTCTTTCTGGCCTAACAGTGAAGATTTTTTAAAAGTATTTTTAAGGACATTTTTAAGAATATTTTTTAAGGATTTTCAGAATTTTCATACTAACTATCCTTACTTATCCTTAAGGATTTTTACGGATATTCTTGAACAAATTCTTTTCAAAGACCTTCAGAACTTTCGGACTTATCATTTAAGGAATAATTTTTCTGATTATTTTCAGACGCAACATTAAGGATATCTTTCCAAGGACTTGCAGGCAAATCATTGAAAATATTTTTGAAAAGGACCTTATCAAGGTCCGTAGATTTTTTTAATGACTTATTTTAAGGATTTTTTGGAAAATACATAATTATGTAAGAAAAAAATCCATGGATTTTTTTAAAAAATTCATTTTTTAAGGATTTTTAGAAATTTCCTACTTTTAGGCTTTTCATTGAAGATGCGTGGCATTACACTTTTCCAAGGATTTTCAGACCAATAACTTAAAATCTTTTTGAAACAGACCTTATGGTCAACATATTTGAATGAGTTCCAGACCTACCTTCGTGTATTTGTTTAAAAATATTTCTTAGGGAATTTCTCGGAGGATTTTCTCAAGGACTTTTAGATAATTTTATAAAGATTTCTAGATCAACCATTTAGGATGTTTGGAACATAATTTTTTTCTGGACAAAATTTGCGAATTTCTTCTGATTCTGGATCCAAAATGTTTTGTTTTTTTTTTCAGGACAATCTCTATGATCTAAAAATTGATAGACAATTTTTCCATCATGTGAAAATTTTTGATTTTTATACATCCTTATTTTAACCAATTCTTATTTTTTTCATTTTTTATATCTGCGATTTGGTTTTTTTCCCTGATCGACTAATGTTATATGAAGTTCCCAACCACGTCGACTAAGCGTTTTTCACCTGCTCTCCTTTAGCCAGCATAAAAGCAAATTGGCAAATTGAAACTTTTAATGCAGAATGCAGAATGCAGAATGGAGGATGGTTGGGAGGTGTGTGTTGGTAAATTAATTTCATTACATTTTTGCACTGAAACCGGAGGCAGAGAGTGAGAACAGCTATTGCAATTTTTCGTTTCTTCCATATATAAATAAGTGATGGTGTGGATGGATAGTGTAATCAATGAGCTATAGTTGCTGTGATTATTGGTTGTCACTCAGTGCAACAAAGTGATGGTGGAAGTTTCGGATTTTTTTTTTTTTTGGTTTGTCTCTATTATTTCATTGGCGAAATAAGTTGATTTTTATAAACTTTACTAAGAGGACTGCAGACAAAAAAATTTTTTGAGTGGTTATAATTAGCAAATGAGAGATGATGAGGGATTACAAGGATATGAGAAAAAATCTCAAAAATGATTTCAGCAATTACAATTTCTCAGAATTGTAATAATATACATTTTAATTGGATATTTAAAAATTATATTTTTAAATAATTTATTTTCTTTATGTTGTAACTACTCAGCAACATATATTTTGAGTGGAAATTTAAAAGTTATGTTTTTAAATAATTTATTTTTTTATTTTTTTTCGCCTTTTAATGAACTGCATTATCCCTTTTGTTTACCCAAAAATGTTATTTTTTTTTAAATTTAATTATTTTGATTTTTTTCATAATTTAATATTTTCCCAATAGAAGATAATTTATTTTCTTTACATTTTTTGTTGTATTTTCTTAGAATTGCAATTT